GCACCCGCGCTATATTCGTGGCACTACCATAGCCGGTGCCCACAGCGCACCCAATGATACAGCCCGTCTTGAGGTCGGCCGAAGGGTTCACCTGAAACGCAACGAGTGGTCAGACGATGGCAGAAGGAGTGGTCTTTCAGGACTCATACTTTGGCGACTTGTGATTGGCGGACGACGGCGTACTCGGAGAAAGTGGACGTTCCGGCTGTTGGGCGCGAAACTCAAATTCAAACACTGTTTTCGAGCCGCGAATACGAACCCAAAGAGAGTAACGGTTTTCCGTTGACTTTCATTCGCGTCTCGCGGTTGTCGTGATATAACGTGGTGTAGAAGTTGCCGACGGAGCAGAAGTTAGTCTTCGGATTGCGGCAAAGGTCGCAAACACCGCACTCAGGCATCCACATCAACACCACTTTGTCGCCCGCAGACACCGCCGTCACGCCCGCGCCCACCGACTCCACCACTCCGGCGCCCTCGTGACCCAACACCACCGGCAGACCCTCGAAGTCGAGCGCCAGGTCTGTGGGCCAGCCCCACACGAAGTGGGCGTCCGTCGCGCAAACGCCCGCCGCCACCATTCGGACGCGGACTTCGCCCTAAACACCAAAAGTGTCCACAAATAGATTCGTTTGTAAGAGAAATGAGAACTAATTCTGGGTTTTGTGCGATCCTTAACCTTCTTTGGCGGATCCACGGTTATCGTCTCCACCGTCAACGGAGAGCCCTCTTTCCATAGGACGGCCGCTCGACAGGTAATTGTCTGTGAGGACAGGTATTATAGACAGACAGTAGAAATAGAACCTAGAGAATACCTTTCCTTCGGTAGACATTTTGCGAGAATATAACTGTAAAACTGTTAAACAAATGATTTGTTTTTATAGACTTTGGCTAATCGTTGTCATAAGAGATTGTATTCTTATCTGAAAAGCATTTCACTATTTCTAAAGAATTAGTTACTATTTATCGCAGATTTTACTCGTTAAGGTAGTTTGATCTCACTATACATAAGGTATTATCGATACTTATTTTATTAAAAAACACTTGTTTTCCAACACTTTCTCTAATTGTCTCCAATTTGAATACATTTCCTTTTCAGACCCTCTTTTAATCCAATATTTTGTCCCATATTTGGCTCAAACATTAATTTGAAAAACAAATGAAACATCAATCAAAGGAAATCTGTTATCTTTCACTCAATATTATCATAATTCAATGTATTGTAAATCAAATCCAAAAAGCAATTACAGTAAATGCTTATTAGTTGAAAACAACAGCACTTAAAGAGAACTTAAAGAGCACTCAGTTTCCGTCCATTCCTGCCATTCCCGAGATTCACGGCGGCCACGGATCCCACGGATCGCCGCACAGGGACGAGGAGTCGGCGACTCCCGAACCCCAGGAATACGACTCGAATGACAACCATTACTGAAGCATTCATTTCCACATCAAAAGCGAAACATTTTGCAATAAAAAGACATTTTTTCACAAACTGTTCAATCGTTTCATTCATTACTGACTTTGAGTTTGACTTTTGTGTCAAAGTATTTATTCAACAGATTTCTACGAATACTGTATAAGCAATACATTGAAGACATAAAAAGCGATTCAAAACTCAATCACAGTTCGGATCGTTTCTCCGGCTTTCAAGACATCAAACGCGCGGCCGATGTCTTCCAAACGCATCCGATGAGTGATCATTGAGTCGATTTTCAGATTTCCCGCGCACATCATGTCCACCAGACGCTGGTTGGCCTCCCGAGGCTTCATGTTCCCGAAGTAACCGCCGGCCACTTGTCGGCCTTCCAGCAGTTCCGCAACACTGGTCTCCACTTTGTTCCCGCGTTTACCCAAACCTGAAGTCAAGACAGAGTTGAATGAATGGGCGAACAGTTGCTCGACACGTGACTACCGATGACAGTGAGTGATCCCCACGGCGTCAGACTCTTGAGAGCGGTGTTGAGGACGTCCTCATTGCCGACGCAGTCGAAGGCGTATTCAATGCCTTTCGCTCTCAACACCTCTTCCAACGGCTGGTCTGAAGACAAACACTCTTTGAAAGGCTTTCACAACTCAACGCTTTTATACCCAAACTCTTGGGATTAATGAATTCATTGCAACCCATCTGTCGAGCGATCGCTTCCTTCTCGCCGTTGATATCGATTCCGACGATAGTGTCGGCCGAAGAGTCC